TTTTAAGTCACAGGAATTCGTCTCTTGGAGGGACTTATGTGTCACTGTAACCATTTTATAGCAGGAACCCCTGGTTGGCTTGACTTAGCAAATGATAGACATCGAAATGGCAGCCCCGCCAGAAGCAGGATTCCTGTGGCTCAGGTCTCCGTCCTTACCCTCAGCAGTAGAAACAATGCGAAGGTGAGCATTAAGTTTTTCCATGTTGCTACTTGTGGCACCAAGATGTGGTTTCTTCTAGGAAGCCTCCCAAGGTGAGTAGCTTCACCCCCCCTCAGATGCATTCGCTCTCAGCAGCATCAGCAGAGTCAGTGACAGGATGTTAAGCGAGGGACCCTATCAAAAGGTCATGTAGTTAAGCTGGAAGCTATCATTATGAAAAGAGGCTTTTCTGAACCTCCCAGTGGTGGCAGGTCCATTTAACCCCATCACTTTTGGAGAAGCAGACTCAGTCATTTATTTTCCAACCACCTTCCTTGCCCTCCATGGACTCTTAACTTAATGGCTGTCTACATCAGTGGCAAAGTTTGCTCCATCATTGTAATTAAGATTTCCATTTTTGTGGCCAGACTTTCAGCTCAGCAATTGAGAAAAAAAAACCCTAAACCCCTGACTCTCGTTAACACAATGTAAATATTTAGTTAATACTTGTAAAACTGTGGAAGATGAAAAGCCTCCTCTATTTGCAAATCCTCATAAATAATGGACATAAAATAGAAGAGGAGGTGAAAGCTTGATGGAACATTTCTTCCATTTTCTCCATAGGACCTGTTCATGGAAACCCTCCACCCCCATGTAGCCAAAGCCACGGAGACGGCTAGAAACAAGTCATCCTATCCTTATCTTTCTTATTTATAAAATAATAATTGATGGGAGTTTTCCCTTTCAGTATTTCCAGTGGAAATCTCAGCCAGTCCAACCCAACTGGACTTCCTTGCCCTTTTCAAAAGAGAAAATTCATAACTGATCTCACTGAACATACCCCACACTCTGGCAATGGGTCAGTTCTAGAATGTATGTTATTTTGCCAATCCTATTTCTCCATCCCTCCTTCTCTGTTGATTTAATAGTGATGCTTAAGGCCAAGCACCTGCAGCTGTAGATGCCTTCAAGTTCTTCAGTTCTTGTGAAATCCAGGGGAAAAGGTACTCAGCTTATAGCCTTCGTGAATTGAGAACTTCATTAGAGGTCAAAATTATATTTTAGTAGTTATTTATTTCATATGACACATTTAAACCCAGCAATACATAAAAATCTCTAGCATTTAAGATTTATTTTTTACAGATTTTTCCTTTCTTTTTCTTTCTTTCTCTCTTTTTTCTTTTTCTTTTTTTTTCTTTTTTTTTTTTTTTTTTTTGCTGAGTTATGTTCTAAGATAAATACCAGCACTTACAGTTCTAGGACAAGATAGAACCTCTAGTGCATTCGCCTTTAAGTTCAGGGAAAAGTCCAGTACAGCCACAGAGAACCAGAGAATTTATCACATTATGTTCCCCGGAAAGAAAACAATAAGGAACTGGCTTAGGAGTTAAAAGTTTGAAACAAGTGGCCCCATATGTTCATCATTTCCTGGGCCTTTTATTTTTCCAAACACAAAAGAAATGAAGAGAGAGAAAGGAAAGATCTGAGAGAGAGAAAGGAAGGAAGAACGAGAAAGAGAAAAGAAAAAAGAAAAAAATTGCAGAGCACTCTTTCCCAAAAATCATTCACAAATCCAAAATTTAAAAGACCTTTCTTTTTATCTTAAATACATGGAATATCAATTGATTCCAGATGTTTGGGCTACAATAAAAATGCCCAGCAAAATTTGAGGGCAATAGTCATAAGAAAATACTCACTGTAGGTGTAACCATTTTTGTTTGTTCCAGATCTTTTACAGCAGGTCAGGGTGGGTATTATGAGACTGATGTGGATAAACTGAGGACTTAAAAGCGTGTGCTGCTTTGTGGGTGGGGTCTGTGAAAGCATCTAGTTACATTTGGACACCCAGGCAGGTACGCTATGAGCCTGGGTAAACTGCCTTTTGTCCATTCCGACAATGAACAAATTGCACGGCTGGGATTCGAGTCAATCTTTTCCTCCAAATCAAGCCCCCAATTTCCACTGTGTGCCTATAGTAGCCGCCCTGGACAGTGACCCAAGCTTCAGTCCTCTCCTGTGCCCTCTTCCTTCTGATTCAAACACTTGGAAATATCTTGAGACTCGGAGTACAATCAGCTTGCTAGTTCTGCCTGGCAGACACCTTTACTCATTGAATTACGTTTGAAAGACCACGTAGCTCCCTCAAACCACTTCCTGCTCCAAGTACAGGAAAAAGCAACAACTTACGGCTAGCTCTACTTCTGAACAGTTCAGCATACACAACATGGAAAGTTCATTTGGAGTTTTCCAAACTTGTAATCAATGCAGAGATAACACTCCACAGCCTCTTTTAAGATCATCTAAGCAGGGAGACAAAGCCCCCAGCTGTCAGACCACATAGCATATGTGTATACTGACTTCATTTCTTTTAAAAGCAAGGTAGCCGGCATGCACCTTGGCATCTCGAGTGCAGCAGAATCAGGTGCCTGACAAGGATGTATCCTTAACTCCTAAGCCACTTGCTTGACTAAGGAAAGTCCCAGTGGTGGAGTATTTGAAAGCAGCAAATGATTACCGTACTAAGCAGTAGGTACGTTTTATGAATTGAGCCCTCAGGCAATTGCATCGGGGAGCCAGTGACAGCGGCTTAAAAGTGCTTGCAAATGGGAAAAACACAAGTCTTGAGAGATATAATTTTGCTGAGAATGGAAACTTGAACTAGGGCCAGTGATTGGAAACGAGAAGTCAGTGCATTGACAACGCCAGCCAAATTTACCTAAAGAGACTTTACAACACCGAGTATAAAATCAGAGTTTTACAACACAAAACCCCAAGTCCAAACTTCGCCCCTGAGAATCCTCTTCAAAAGAAAAAACTTGGAATAGCAGTTGCTAGAAAGTTTCCGCTTTCCATATACAGTATGCATTTGTTTAAATTATACGAATGTGCAAGGTCAGCAAGAGTTCTTAAGGAGTTCTTTTTCAGAAGAGCAAAGTAAACTTCACTCTAACTTTGACTCTCTGGGCGTAAGTGCAGAGAGTTCCGGGACCTTCGCTCCAAAGACCACATTTAAAAGCTTTAATATCATTTAAAATGTAACTCTTTATGTGTGGCATGCCTTGTAATAAAAGTCCTGACAAGTTACACACACACAGATACATACACACACAGTCCTACATACACACGAACATGGTCTTAAAAATAAAACATCTGCACCTGCAAAAAAAAATCCAAAAGTTCATATCCATGCTCTATAGCCCTTAACCATAGACAGGATTTAAAGGAATCTTCTATAATGACACCACTCAAGCCCTGCAGAAGTGGAGGATTTAGCATAAGTACCTTGCAATAGTTTTTACTCATACAGATATCTGTGCAAAGGCATTTATCTCCCGGAGCTATTTTTTCAGATCCCACAGAATTGCATATTCAGCAATTTATAAATAACTCCCAGTGCCGAAACAATGAAAATTCTAAATTGAAGAACATCTCTAAGCAGAAGCAAACAGTACACAGTTTAAAGAAAATTCCCCAATGACTTCAAAGAGTAAGAAATATTTACCTTCAAGAAATCACAAAAGCAGCACTTAAATAATTGGGTTGGAAGACTGCTGATTTTTCCCATTGCTTCTGAAGTGCAAAGTCTGGAAATGAATTGGTTAGCAGGAATAATGAGGCAGAAAGAAATCCAGGGAGATGGGAGATGTTGAGAGCAATGTCACATTTCAATTTTGAGGACTTTATTCCATTGCGCAGGCTCTATCTGCTCTGAATTTAGCAGTGACAGTGAGATTTAGCAAACAGAAGAGGGATTTAGAGAAAATCCTCACATTTATCTACAAAACACAGACACTGTAGACAGGAAACAGCTGGGGGAACGCTTGCCTTCTCTCTCTCTCCCTCTTCTGGCAAAGTTATCGAGTAAGGACTTTTTTGGGCATGGTGACAAATAACATCATACCTTTGCATTTTAAAACTAGAGCACAGAAGCATTTTTTCCCTTAAAAGAATGCGTGTTAGTGACAGGGTGAGCAGACATTAAAATACCAGTGCTGTCCTCTGATTAACTTTCTACTGGGCAGGAAGACACACACATCTGCTAATACACCTTACCAGTATGAAAGGAATACACTTGGAGGATGGGCAAGCAATTTTATATTCCAGAGCCAACGCAAAATTAAAAAAAAAAAAAAAAAGAAATGAAAAAAAGACCATCTCAAACATACCCTACAATTTTAACCCTCAAATGTCTGGGGTAAACTAGATTGGAAGACAGCGCTGGGATGACCCCTCGTCCTAGTTGCCAAGTGAGGGGAATGATCTCATTTCCTAGAACCTGGAAAGGGGCGGGCAGCTTTGCAGTTGGCTCCCTTTAGGACACTGTCTAATGCTTTCTGCCCACGACAGGGCAAAGATTTTGCTGAGCTGTAAAGCCAACTGAAATAATAAAATCTTTTTCTTCCTTCCTCTACTCTGCTGCTTATCACCCCCAGCCTCACCCCAGGGGAAGGGCACCTGAGGGGAAAATGATTTTCCTGTCGTTCATATTTTTCTGCATAACTTGAACCTGAGTGTGTGTGTGTGCGCGTGCACGCGCGCGTGCGCATGTGAGTGCATTTTATTTCTCCAGTTTTTGTGTATTCTAAATAACACCAGCTGGCTAGCAATACCCTCTCAAGGGTTATGATGTCATTCAAATCTCTCAACTGGATGAGTGGCCGGCAACATGGTCCAAGCCAGCTGTTTTGCTATTTATAATGTATACTTGCATTTGCCATTGAGAATCAAGTTCTGATCTTTTGTCAATATAGTTTGCACCAATTTCTCTTCGGTTTTGCGAAGTAGGAGATAAGAAAGTAGATTATGAAATAAGGTTGCAAAAGCCCAGGTCGGACATCCCACTTTCCCTAGAGGTCTGTCGGGGCATGGCTCCCCAGGGACGGTGGAAATAGCCTGGACCTTGCCTCTCTCTCTCGTGATTCTCAGGAGACCCAGTGATATTGACGCATCGACTCAAAACAGAGGTCTGCTGGAAACCCTTGTCTGGGTCTCTATGTTGTCCTGTGGCCAGGAAGTTGTTTGCAGAGGTGAGTGCCCTCGAAGGAAAACCCAATTGGTTTTGAAAGGGGGTTGAGTTTGCTCAAGGCTTCTCTGTGATTCATAACTTGTGGCAGTGTTTACCTTCGAGAAAGACAAGTTAGACGTTCGGAGTGATGCCATTTTAATGGTGCAGTATATTCAGCATCAGTTAGTGAGTGCCTACTGTGTGCCCAGTTACATGCATCACAGTCAAGGCCCCACAGGGGCTTTCAGCTAAGTGGCAGAGACAGAGAGGAAAACTGCTGTCATGTGGAGGGTATGTGCTCTTTTAAAAATACGAAAAGGGCACACTTTCTCTGGAAAGACAGGGAAGTGAAACCCTGTTGAGAATCCAGGATGGGGGAGGAGGGGTGTGTCATGAGAGGCTTTGGGGTGCAAAGTTGGGAAGTTTCAGTGGATGCGATTTGACCTAAAGAGTCTACAAATATGCATCATCAAGAGGTGGCCGGGGAGGCATCTGTAGGTGTGTGGGCAATTCCTGTACTTCGAAAATAATCCAAGACTTCCTTTAATTATCTCCCCTTCACACATTTAACTTAGGACCTGATTTACCGAAGATCTGTTTTTTTTCCCCCACAGCTTTGGCAGATCACATCCTTCGTGGAAAAAAAAAAAAAAAAGTCCAACTTCCTCTCATGGACTTTGATAACGTAGATTGTCTCACGTGTAGAAAGATCTGCCATTTCCACGTGTGCAGAGTCAGGTAACCGCTGAGTCTTGGTGCTGGGTGCCTGGGTCCACCGCTGGGCACCTTCACAGGTAAAGGCTGTGACTTTCCCATTGCAGTTCTCCCTTGTTTTAATCGTTCCAAGATGTCCTAGGAGCTCACTGCCCTCTCCAAGGCTGTACCCCAGTTTGATGGGCTTTTTTGGCATGCCGTGTGAACAGATCACCTTATCCCCAACCATTTCATGTAAAAGGCTGCTTCGGGAGACAGAATGCATACCGTTCCATCCGACAGTGGGCTCCTGCACTATCGACACACTGATTCACAGTCTCTTGGTTTTATAACCCCAATTACCCTTAAAGGATAATTGGGTTTTAATTTATGTCCCAGTTTTTATGTCACAATCAAAGAAAACTGAAATTTCAGTGAGTCGTAATTATCATCAGCTGTGCTGTGGAAACATTCCGATGTGAGCTCTCAGTTTCCAACAGGGAAAGCAATTTCCTGAAGTGATTACTGTATACTTCAATATGGAGAATGGTCTAGATTTCTGGGTAGGGTAAGCCAGCAACAGAGCAATAATTCCTAGGGAAATAGCCATTTTCTTGGCTAATTCCAGGAGTCAACATGAAAGCCAAAGGGCAATAAATGTGCCACGCGATGACTTTTTAATGACTGAATCCTGCACCTGTTTAGGAGAAAAAGAGATGGATGCACCTATTACTAGAGGGTCCAAGGTGGTAGTAAATCTAATCCCTAGGAAAAGTTCAGGTCAAGAAGCCCCATTGGAGAGAAACATACGGGGTCATTCTAAAATGACTGAATGATTATGTAGTCTCCTGCCTGGAACAAACTGACAGGTAGATATGGGAATTATGTGCCACCAAAGTAGCAAGGATGTGCTCATCATGAGAACATCCACTCCTGGAAATGCAGAGATTCACAGTTTCACCTTTTGCATGTGTAATGCCTGAGGGATATAAATAACTCTCCCCTAAAGCCTTCTTCTTGAGTAGCGTATTTGCATAAAGCTGCAGTCTCAGAAGACTTCTGACACCTTTCTTAAAAAAAAAAAAAAAAGTCGTTCATCTCCTTAAAGAGCAGGCTGCTGATTGAGATTCACAGAAAGGGGTGGGCAAGACCCTGTCCCCACTCTTTTTTTTTTTTGCGGTACGCGGGCCTCTCACTGTTGTGGCCTCTCCCGTTGCGGAGCACAGGCTCCGGACGCGCAGGCTCAGCGGCTGTGGCTCACGGGCGTAGCCGCTCCGTGGCATGTGGGATCTTCCCGGACCGGGGCACGAGCCTGTGTCCCCTGCATCCGCAGGCGGACTCTCAACCACTGCGCCACCAGGGAAGCCCCCCCCCACTCTTTTTGCTCGAGCCACATTCCCAGTCCTCCCCATGTCAACTGCAGAGTTGCTCATTCAAAAGCTCATCTCATATCCATGTGCAGTGGGGCAGACTTACAGTTTATTTCATTAATGTCAGTGCTGACTCCTACGAAAAGCTTAGGATGGATATCTGGGGGTAAGAGGACTTTGGAACCAAATAACGGGTGAGGTTTAAGGCTTTGGGGCCACCCACCAGGCAAAGAACTTGGGGTAAACTACTGGGCCTGTCTCCTGGCTCACGGTTTGTGAGGAGGGTTGGTCTGGGAGTGTATTCTCCAATGTCTGAGATCAAGGTCTGGTCAATTCAGAATGTAAAACTCAGAGGAAAAGGCTGGGCCTCAAAAATACTACAGGCTGCTTAACAAGGGGACCAATGTCAGCTCCAAAAGATCTGCTCAGAAGCAGCTCTGTCAGCCCTCAGAAAGATCTTTAGCTCAAAGGAACTGCTTTAAATCCTTAGAGGCGCTTTTCCCCCACAGCTAGGGAAAACAGTAATAGGGAGAAGAAATCCTCCCACTAAAGAAATCAATGCTTTCTTTTCAACATCAAACTCGGATCTTATTTCTTCTAAAATGTCAAAAGGGCAAATACTGAGAACAGCCAGAAGCAAAACTTTTGTGGTTTGGGTAGCAAAAGAATTCTTCGCAATGGCAGATGAGGAGTCACTGCATGGGGCGAGGATGGCGTGGTGGAGTGAGAGAGCCTAAGGGCTCACCACAATTGCCCCAAGTTGAAAAGAAAGTGAGTGAGGAAAGGAGACACCAATTCCGAATGTCAGGGGCAAGTACCCAAAGAACGCTTTCTTTCGGAATCGAAAAATGTGCGCGCCCTCTAGTGGCCGTCGGGGAAACTGCCACCGCAATCTTCACCGTTGATGTGTGGAATTTGGGAGGCGTGGGGAGTTTTGCAAAGCTCGGGATTCAAATATACTTTAAATTGCACTTATCTTTTGAAACAAATAAGCTAGGTATTTAATTCACTCTAGTTTTAAAAAAGGGAAAAGTACAAAGGGAAGAAAGGAAGATGATAAACTTTACGAGAGCAGGGATGGCGTCTCCACGGCTCTACTCCCAGGGCTTACCTTGGTATGGGCTCCAAACATTTTGTTGGTTGAATCAAAGTCTGGAAAATAAATGACGATAAAGGTAAACTATTTCACATAAAAAAGATAATAAACTCTCTGAGAGTGAAATGACCAACTTCTTCATTTTATAAATAAGAAAAATGAGGGGTGGGGGAGTGGTGGATAGAAAAGTGACTTGTTTTAATGTAACAAATTGAGGTGCTTGCAAACCAAGCTCAAATTCAGTCCCCCTGTCCGTTCTACACTGTTTCTTCCACATCAGTGTTCAAAATGTGGGCTTTAACACTGATGGTCAAAGACATGGCATTAAAGAATCATGTAAGAGTGGAAGGGGTTCCATTTTTAATTCTCTTTAAAGCCAGTAAAGGCTATTCCAGGCAGAGGGAACAGCATGGACAAAATTCTATGGGAATGAAGAGGTTCCCAGTGTTGTGATGTGGGAGATAATGCTGCAGCCATGCTCTCAGACTCCTGCACTGTGGAGGCCCTTTAGTCTCTCCTTTCCCCATCAGTAGCCTTCACAGAGCTGTAAGACCAGAGAACAGTCTCATTCCCTCACGATTCTCTTGTAAACAAAGATTTGTATGTAACTGAATCTGTGATTAATTCTGGGAATGGCATAGTGCCTCAAGGTAAATGTGCAACAGCAGACCTGGGTTACATTATAACCTAGGCCAATCTGAGTAGTGCTGGGTAAGAAGAACGGAGGTGGAGATTGATCACGCAATGATCTTGCCAGAGATTCCATTTTGAAAGATTTAATTGTAGTGTTTATACTTCGTTAAGTAAATTTTAATGGAAAAACGAAATGATTACGCTTGATAAAGATTTTCCACAATAAGGGTTGAAGCAAAAAGATCTTATTTCTGGTGAGCCCTGAACTTTCTGGAAAAACTGGTTCATCAGAACATCCCATGCTTCCTGTGGGTCAACTGAGGCAGTTTTATTGTGCTCTTTGAGAGCAGGGCACATAGCCTCCAGCCTCGATTCTTCACTTGAAGGTGGCTGCTAAGAAACACTTCAGACTGCTTCCCGTGATGGTTCCCTGCATAAACAGAAGTTTGAGTAATCAGTTGAGGAGGAGAAACAGAATCTAGGGGAACCCTTGGTAATGATCCATTTGGGAAGCATATATCCTTGGAGACTGTACCTCATCCTATGCCCAACATAGTCCCTTGAGGGTGGAATGAAGGTGTGCCATGGAAACACACGCTCTGCTCCTTTTTACAACACCTTGGTAAAGGCCTCAGCTTCTTTCAGAGCTCAGAGTAAGTATTTAAACTCAGTTGTATTAGTCAGAGTTCTCCAGAGCAATGGAACAAACAGGATCTATTGCCTATCTGTCTCCTCTCTCTCTTTTTTTTAAATTTAATTTTTATTTAAAAATTAAATAAATTTTAAAAATTTATATCGGAGCATAGTTGATTTACACTGTTGTGTTAGTTTCAGGTGTACAGCAAAGTGATTCAGTTATACATATACATATATCCATTCTTTTTCAGATTCCTTTCCCATATAGGTTACTGCAGAATACTGAGTAGAGTTCCCTGTGCTATGCAGTAGGTCCTTGTTGATGATCTGTTTTATATATAGTAGTGGGTATATGTTAATCCCTCTCTTGATCAATATGCTTTAGGGAGTTGGCTCATGTAATTGTGGAGGTTTAGCAAGTCCAAAATCTGTGGAGTAGGCCGGTAGGCTGGAGACTCAGGAAAGAACTGCAATTTGAGTCCAAAGACGCTATGCTGGCAGAATTCCCTCTTCTTCCAGGGAGACCAGTCTTTTCCTGTTAAGTGACTCGACTGACTGGATGAGGCCCACCTTCTTTATGGAGGGAGATCTGCTTTACTCAAAGCCTACTGATTTAAATGTTAATCTCATCTAAAAAATACCTTCTCAGAAACATCTAGAAAGTTTGACCACATATCTGGGTACTGTGGCGTAGCCAGGTTGACACATATAACCACATTAGTGGTTCTCAAAAGGTGCACTCACTGGCCCTCCCTCACGAAAGGAAACTCAAGTTAATGGATTACATTTCCCAATTCTAAGTTTTCCTCTCATACATTAAACTTTGGCTCCTGAACTTATGTTCCTTGGTTGTTGCCAAAAGGAAGCCACAGCACACTTGCCTTGACAATATCATTAATATTTTATGAAAATTCTGTTCATTGGTGACAAGAAGGTAAACAGTGCTTCATTTTTTTTCCTTCCACTAAGGAGAACAAGTGTGCATATGACACACACACACAGCCACACTCAAATGCATGCCCACAATCACACATGTCAACATCTGTGCTTAATTTCTCCAGATAATAGGTGTGTTCATTCCCTTATTTTAAAAATTGCAGTTTTGATCAATGGGAAGAAGTTTCAGACATAAGGTAGTGTTTGGGGTAGGGTGATGTCCTGCCCTTTGGCAAAATGGAGAGAGAGATTTCCCATATGCTTCTGTCCCCAGAGACTGACTCTATGCCTGGATTAATGGGGGTCCTATGACCCTCTGGGTAGCAGGATGACAAGTGATTTTAACTTTCTTCTCAATACTTTTCTGCACTTTCTAGATATTATTATTATTTACTTTCAGCAGGTATTACTTTTATAGTTAACAGTTGTT